GACTGAAAATAGGGAAACAGATGTCAATATGTAAAAGATGATAACACTTAAACAAAGGAGAGGGACTTAAAAAAATGTAGACATAGATTTTTCATATGGAGAGGAAGTCAAGGCGATATAAAGAAATAAAAGACTGGTATAAACTTAGAAAAATAGGGGTGAATATTAAGGTAACCACAAAGGAAACTAACAATCCTACAAGTCAAAAAAAAAAAAAAAACACCTTCCAGGGGTCAGCAGACTGTAGCCTGCAAGCATCCAGCACCTGTTTTTGTATGGCCTGTGAGCTAAGAATGGTTTTTACATTTTTAAATGTTTGGAAAAAAAAATCAAAAGAAGAATAATATTTCATGACATATGACAACTGTATGAAACTCAAGTTTCAGTGTCCATAAATAAAGTTTTATTGGAACACAGCCATGCTCATTCATTTATGTGTTGTCTCTGACTGCTTTTGCTACAGCAGCCAAGTTGAGTAGTTGCTGCAGAGACTATATGGCCTGCAAAGTTTAAAATATTTACTATCTGGCCATTTACAGAGGAAATTTGCCAACCCCTGTTCTAGATCACCTTCTTCACATTTGTTTGACCTTGAGAATCTCATCTTTGGGTAGAAATGAAGCAAACAGATATTAAAATATTATTCTACGAAATAAGTCTTCTTGGTTTTTTTTTGTGGGTTCTATTTGTCTTTTCTCTGCCAGCAGAGGTTAAGTGCCTCTTAAAGGCAGGGACACACATGTCCCTTGTGTCTTCTGTAGCACAGTGATTGTTTTTCACTCGAGTGTGATCTGGGTAGCACAATACTGTGTGTGCACCAGGGAGTCCCTGGGTGGTGCAGTCAGTTAAGTGCGTTTCTCCTAACCTAAAGGTTGATAGTTCAAACCCAGCCAGAGGCACCTCAGAAGAAAGGGTGGCAGTCTACTTCCGAAAGATCACAGCCTTGAAAACGTACGGAGTGCAGTTTTCCTCTGCACACATGGGATCACCATGAATCAGAATTGACTTGATGGCAACTGTTTTTTTTTTTTGTTTTTGGTGTGTGCATTACAAGGTTAGATAATCTGTTGCTATGTGGTTGTATCAGTTCTATGAGGGTTTTTGCCCAAGTCTGCCAATAATGTAGTTATTAAAGGGCTTTTGTAAAGATCTTCATGAAATGTGTTTATAGTAATTAGGTTACTGTTACCACTTTGGATTGTGTCATGACTGTGCTGCGCTGACTTGATGGGAATTCTCTGTCTTCCTTCCTGTTTCCATGTGGTGTTTATATGTAGAGTGTTCACATCTGGAGAGAGTCTGGCCTCTCCAATATAGTTTGTCTCTTTATTCGACAAGAGCCCTGATTTAAAGGAATGCGTTTCCTTATTTTTTTTCTTTTCTCATTCCTCCCTCAGCTGATAACAGAACGAAAAAGAAAGTTGCCCATCGTGAAAGAAAGCAAGATTTTTCTGCCTTTAAACAGACAGACAGCGAGATGAAGGTTAAAATATCACCACAGCTTCTCTTGGCAATGCACCGTTTCCTAGCAACAGGCAAGTGCAGCTTATCACAGTTTGAAATCTCTACCAACCCTGGAGTGTGTTTCTCACCCACCACTGACTGGGGTGGGCTGGGGGTGGAGACTGGGAAATGGGGTGATAAGTAATGCCACTTTTGTGTTTTGTTTTTTTGTTTTTTTCGTTTTGTTTTGTTTTTTTCTTTTTAAATTCTCTCCTCTCCTATGTTCAGTGTCGGCATGAACCCTCTGAGACATTTACCAGGGGTGGACCAGTAACTTAAAATTGGTCTGAAAGGTAAGGATGAATGTTAGTGCCACACTGCATGTGTACAGTAGGCCAGGTCATCTACTTCCAGCTAAGCCCATGGTAGAGCCAGCTGGTGGAATAAGCTAACATGCCAACCAGACACCACTTCATTGTTTAACTGGACAGTTAAGTAATTCTTCAGCTTGCCTTGGAAGAACAGTTGGACATCAGTTGTTACACAGGCGCTATGATTTGCAAAGAAGAAAAATAGACTTTCAGAATTAAATCTTTATCTTTTATGGTTTTAATGAAATCAGAAATTCTAAGAACTTTGACATGGATTTCTCGATGGTCTCTTCAAATCAGACTGTTAACTTGAGCCCATTCCCAGAAGGCAAGTGTTCACATTATTAAAACCACCAACCCAGCCGGCACTGACTGCTCCAGAGAGGTCAAGGTTGAATGGACTTAAAAGACTCACTGACCCTTCTCACATCCCCAGATGGCTCTCTAGGTGAAGGGTGAGCTCTGTTGGTCAGGGGAAGTGTAAGAAAATCTGAAGTACCCAGTGGCTTCTAGAAGACGTATGTGTCCAAGATGGGCAGCTAGTTCCTTTCAACTGCATGCTGTATACCTGAAATATTTTTAAAAGAAGGCAAATAGCAACCACATGATGGAATATTATGTACTCATTAAAGATCATGTTTTCAGAGGCATGGGAATGCTCACAATATAATATTTATGACATGGGAAAATACTTATAATTTAATGTAAAGTGGGAAAAAACAGGATACAAAGCTGTGTGTACCATATGAGTATATTCTGTTTTTTTGTGTACACACACACATATACACAGGTACATGTGCCTAGGTAAGGTACTGGAAAGAAATGCTCACCAAATAGCTAAGAGTGGTTTTCTGAATGGTTGGTTTGTAGATAATTTTTTTCTTCTTTATCTTTTTTTTGTATTTTCCAAAATATCTACAATGTACTATCTTATTTCATTATACAAAAAAGGCACAGAAGCTAATACAGAATTTATAATTTTCATATATAATTTTTGAAATAAAAAACAATATCTTTAACTTGTTTATTATTATTGTTCTAATTCTGAGCTATCATTCCTAATCGTTTAAAAACTACAATTTAAAACTAAACATTATCCTCTGAGACTATCATAGAGTCTGGTTTCAGTGTAGCACCCATAAGTGAGTAATTTTGGTTTTTGTTATTTCAGACAAAACTGACATCTTTGTAAATATTGATCAACATTACTTTCTTTTTTAAATTATCAAGTTGGAGTGCATGTTGATGTGTGCACATGCTTTGCTTCTATTCTCAATTTCTACCTTCCTTTGTTCCCAGAATCTCTCAGGATAGTTGCAATGGGAGAATGAGATGTGGAGTCCCTGTGTCTGTGCACCTGATACTAACCCACAACTAGATGCTTCCTGACCCTTGCTTCTTCCTTTGGCTGTTGTTGGACAGTCAGACTATGGTGGCTTGTTAAAGGGCATCCTGACAGTCAAGGAGTGTGCTTCTGGTTGATTTTCATTTTTCTCAGTCAGAAAATTAGGGTATTTTTATGAGAACTGACATTGAAAAGGAAACAAATATGAGAATTCAGCATTTTCTAATTTCTCCCAGGTAATCCGCCCCCAGTGGATCACCAAATGGAAGTCTTGTTAATCCATATTGTATCACTTTGATTCCAAGTATTCTTTTTATCTCAAGACCTTAATTACTAGTATAATTTTTTTTTCCATCCATTTGAAGTGTAATATCAAGTTGTGTTTATATCTATAGAAGTAGAAGCATTTAGCCCATCCCAGATGTCAGAGAAGATCCTTCTAAGGCTGCTAAAGCACCCCAATGTCATCCAGGAACTGAAGTATGATGAGAAGAACAAGAAAGCCCCAGAATACTACCTCTACCAGCGAAACAAACCTGTAGACTACTTCGTTCTCATTTTGCAGGTCAGAAGAATTATTCAATAGTTGTTTGATCTCATTAAGTTACCCATCTTTCAAGTTCTGAGGAGGCTTGGTATAGGTGAATGGGTGTCAAGGTTTATATACTTAACTTCTGGGTAGCCTTATACATGGGAGAATTTAATCTCCTTGTTTTCCTATCTTAAAATAATTCTAATATAAAGCAATGTCATTATTTACTTTAATTTCCAAGACGGAAAGGCACTTAGTGATTGCTGAGGTGTTGAGTCAATGAAGAGTGGTAAATTTGATGGTTAGTATTTTTTTCAGAATTTGGGAAAGTGCCTTTGGCTGGGCATTTGAAATTTAAGTGTCATGGGTTCCCTTGGGTCTTCTTTTTATCATCTTTTCTTTTTTCCACCCCTCATTAGGACTCATTAGGAAGTTGGTCTTATCCAACTTCCTGAAGAGATCTTAGTATCTCTTCCCTTAACACCATCAAAATAATCCTTCTATTGTTGTTTTTACTCCTGATTACTACAAAGACTTTATTTTACAAAGAAGTATTGTGATAATCAAAGCCTCTCATGGCAATGATAACTAATTCTTTCTCACTATAACATAATCCCCCTATGCAAGGTGGGAAGGTCAACATTACAATAAATAGTTTATTGACTTCTTATACCTCTTTATTGAAGAATTGCTTTTACAAGAAATCTTAGTTTCTTTCAATACAAGACTATTAGCCCTTTATGATTTCTCATATTTCTTGGTTACTTCAAAATATGAATTGGAGTTATCATTATAAGAGTATACTTAGTACTTGGTAGGCCGTATAATTTACATAAGTCCAGCAAGGCCCCAGTTACCTAAATGAATTAATAAGCTTCTTTTTAATCTGAAAATAACTCTTATCAGATGTCCAGATGTCAGAAACTCTGGAATGTTTGGGCAGTACTGTGATGTGTAAAAGCAGGGTTGAGGAACTCTGGAAAAATATCATAGTAACTGGTTACACGCCACTTTCGTACAGCATTTGAAGCTTCTGTTTGCAGGTTTCCTGTAATTCAACAGTCTGAATTATAGTCTCAGTCTTATTCAAATCTAGTCTTATTCTACTAACCTCAGTCTTATTCAACCCAGAATTGTGAGTTTTTCTTTTCCTTTGGAGACATAAGCTCAGAATTCTGAGAGTGCTGTTGGTAATTTATTTTATTTACTCCAGATAGGGAACAAAACATTCATGGTTCTCATAAAAGCGAGATGTGAAGGTTCCTTAAACCCAGAGAAACTTTGAATTACACTGAAGACTGTTATTTAGGAGAACTTTAAAGATTGACATTGTGAATTTCAGTGTCAGTATTAGAAACTTCAATTGTCTATTCTTATATATAGTTAGCACTTATGAAGTTGTGATTCAATTCCTGGTGATGGATCTAAAAATAAATTTTGTGGATGAGAGGTTTCATGATCCTTGTCCATTCAGAAGTAGATGTTTTAAAGATATTTTTGATAAGGCATACGTACCTGTATTTGAATATCTATGTCATATTAAATAATTATGTAAATGTGACAAGTGTTCGAACTCTCAAACTGATGATTTCATGGGAGTTTTATAAATAGTGTGTGTATTTGATTAAAAGGACTTATAGAAGTATTTAAATTCTATATGTTTGGTAAAAATCATGGTTTTTTGCTAAGGACCCCAGGTGGTGCAATGGTTAAGTGCTTGGCTGCTAACTGAAAGGTTGGCAATTCAGACTCACCCAGCAACTCCACTGGAGAAAGACCTGTTGATCTGCTCTCATAAAGATTATAGCCTAGAAAACCTATAGGCCAGTTCTACTATGTCACACGGGATTGCTATGAGTTGAAAATCAACTCAACAGCACCTAACAGCGTGGTTTTGCAGAGTAGCCAATTACCCGAGGTACCCTGAGTGTTGATGTTAGGTGCCATTCAGTATAGTCCATGTGACAGAGTAGAACTGCCTCACAGGGTTTCCTAGGCTGTAATCTTTATGGGAGCAGATCATCTTGTCTTTCTCCCACAGAGCTGCTAGGTGGATTCGAGCCACCAGCCTTTTGGTTAGTAACCAAGCACTTAACTGTTGCACCACGAGGGCTCCTTACCCATAGTATAGCAAATTGAAATACCGTATTGCCCTCAGTCAATCTGACATAGCTATCATGATTTATCAAGTGTATTCCTCCCTAAAAAGGCACTCACCCAACACTGGGAAATCATGCCAGGTTATTGAGCATGTCCCACTGCATTTCAATAGCACGAAAGCATAAGAGAGCAGCAGAATCTGCCTTTCCTGCCTCAGCCTCAGAGCCAGTGAGATGCCCTCTTCTGCAGATTCCAGAAACAACTCTTTACTGAAGTAATTGATATTTGGAATACAGTTAATAATAAAAAGAAGCACATCATTTTTAAGTTTAACCCTAGACAAAATACAGTCTAATTTTTTCAAAGCAAACAATTTAAGTAAACCAAATTGAGAACATTGTATAAGTTACCATGCATATACCTCCCACTACATAGGTATAAAAAGGTTAAAAGTCAAGTTTTATCTGAAAAAATAGATTTTAAACTAAAATGTATTGAGGGAACAGTAAAGACAATTGTAAAAGCACACTAAATCATGAAAACAACTTGATTGACTCGACATGCCTTAAATAACTTTAAAAAAACATGTAAAAAAGTAGAAGTGGATAGAAACATAATTTTGGTGGAAACATTTCTCTACCATCATAGTAAGAGCAAGCATACCAAGAAAAAAATGTTATAGTTTCAAATTGCACAACTAGTAAAATAAAATAAAAAGGGATTTGGAGAAAATTAAACATAAAAGCCAGAGAAATACACTTTTTAAAAAGCTTATGTGACTCTTTAATAAATATTGATCATTTACTGTGTCATAAAGTAAGCTCTAGTAAATACAAAAAGATAGAAATTTTATAAAACTACCTGCATAGATCATAATGAAATAGAAATAAGAATACACAATTAAAAAGTACTAAGCCATATTAAAATTGTGATAAATTCTCTTATACAAGTTTATGTGTAAGATGCAGAACAGAGTATATAATATGCTGTCATTTGTGTAAAAGAGAAAAAGGCCGTCTCTCTTTTATTTTACAAAAACACACACATACATACACGAAATTTCTCTGAGAGGTTACTCAGGAAACTGTTAACAGTGGTTGCCTCTAAGGAAGGAAACTTGGAGGACTGGGGTTAATTGAGAAAGGAGACTTATTTCTCCTTTGTATGGTTGGAATTTCTTACCAGGTACATGTGTTACCTATTTAAACAAATAAATAATCATTAAAAAAAACAGAATTAATGGCAAATTAATAATTATCTGAAGTAACAACTAAATTAGAGAGGAATATATAGACTACTGTGAAAGACTAATATTAAACAATGTAAATACCATATATGTATCAAAGTTCTAAAAGATTTTATTCCTTTAAGTACAGTAGTCCCCCCTTATCCATGGGGGATATATTCCAAGCAAGACCCCCAGTGGATGCCTAAAAGTATGGATAGTACCGAACCCTATATATACTGTTTTTTACTATGCATACATGCCTATGATAAGGTTTAATTTATAAATTAGGGACAGTAAGAGATTAGTAACAATAATAATAAAATAGAACAATTATAACAATATACTGTAATAAAAGTTATATGAATGTGGTCTCTCTCTCAAAATATCTAACTGTACTGTTCTCACCCTTCTTGTGATGATGTGCTATAATACGATTTTTTTATTTCCTTACTAAGTCAACAACTGTCACCTTTTCACTTAAAGGAAGCACTTTATGGCTTCTCTTTGGCATATCTGAATTGCCAGCATCACTACTCTCGCACTTCAGGGCCCTTATTAGGTAAAATACGGGTTACTTGAACACAAGCACTCACAGTCGATCTGATAACCTAGAAGGCTCCTGAGTGACTAATGGCGGATAGCCTATACAGTGTGGATGCGCTTGACAAAGGAATGATTCACGTCCTGGGCAGGACAGCGAGAAAGATTTCATGACACTACACAGAATGGCGTGCAATTTAAAACTTATTAATTGTTTATTTCTAGAATTGTCCATTAAATATTTTTGGACTGAGGTTGACCGTAGGTAACTGAAACCATGGAAAGCGAAACCATGGATAAGGGGGGACTTACTGTACTTAGGCAAATAAGGAAAAATAGAGAACTATAATTATTAGATAAAGAACAAAGCAACAAACAAAAAAAACCCAAATAAATAACACTTGTCATGAAACAAATTTGAAAACAAAAAAGCCTTACAACTCACAAAATCAAGATTTGCTTCTTTTAACAGATTTTAAAAAATCAGTATTCTATTGGCATAATTAATGTGATAAAAGAGAAAGTGCAAAATGAGTTCTCCCTCTTCTCTCAAAGCAGCTAGAATTAAAGGATTTGCTAGAAAAGAAATTAAAAATAAAGAACTCAATTTCTATATTATACAAATAGAACAAAATGGTATGATGGTCAAATGCATTTTTTATGGCTAATGTGAGCTTAACTGTAAAATTTCATAATATTACGGGCCAGTCTCACTTGTGAACATTGATGTAGAATTCCTGAATAAAATGGTAGCGGTTAGAGAACAACATATCCAAAGAGTTATTCACTGTGACTGTGACTAAGTTTATTTTAGAAATGCTGGGCTAGTTTAATATAAGAACATCAGAACCAAAATATGCCACATTAATTAAGAAAGTGGGAGGGGGAATCCTTATGCTTGTATCAGTAGATGTCAGAAAGGCAATTCTCAACATTAAGCATCTGTTCTTGACTTCAGAAAACAAACAAAATAATCTAATCTAGTGGACAAAAAGGAAAAAGTGCTGTAAAACCGATCATACCCTTTGAACTGGCAGCCTAATATTTGGGAATACACACAGACAATCCCTCGTAGCTGGAGCCCTGGTGGTGCAGTTGTTAAGAGCTACGGCGAGCTACAACTACTGACCAAAAGGTCAGCAGCTGGAATCCACCAGCCACTCCT